AAAGGACAAGATTTGCGGTTTCCCATTAAAATATAAAATTTATCAAAGTGATAAAGGAGCCAAGACGGCCATCATAATCAAAGACTCAGGACTTTCTATCCTAGAGATAGTTTCGTCACCAGAAATAGTGGCAATACAAATCGATGGGGCAACCCCCTTCGTTTTAATAACAGTTTATTGTCCCCCCACAACGAAATAGACGAGATATTAGTGCAAATAGCGCATATAATTCAACAAAAAGAAGAACTCCCCTCCATAATTTGCGGGGACTTCAACGCAAAAAGCACAATATGGGGCCCAGGACCAACAGACCCAAGGGGAACAAAAGTAGGCGAATTTTCAGCCTCAATTAATGCCACAGTATTAAATAAATCAGATAGCTCCCCAACCTTTGTAGGAGCCCGAGGCAATTCTTGGATTGACATCACACTTGCCAGGAACACAAGTACCCTTTCCATAGGCAAATGGGAAGTAGATGAGAGAGAAACATTAAGTGACCACAAAGCGGTCAACTTTGAGATAAACTTAACAATAGAAAGACCCCCAAAGGGACTTAGGATGAAAATGCTAAACACCGACTGGCTCAAATTAAGAACAATCTTTCATAGGATATTCAAAGAACATATCCCAATCTCTCAAACAGAGGACATAGATAGCAATATAAACTTAATAACGCATCAATTAAGAGAAGCATATCTCAAATACCTAAAGCCCTCCCTTAAAAACGCACAGGGACAAAGGCTAGCATCCCCAAGGGTATACAAAAGTAAAACGTGGTGGACACAAGACCTCACAGAACAGAGAAGAATAGTAAGGCGGTTAAGAAAAGAATTCCAGAACTCAAGGGGGGAAGAAAGGAAACATAGAAAGAAAGACTTTAACAAAGAGGCGGCACTCTACAGAAGGAAAATTTTCAAAGCAAAACTAGACTCGTGGGAAAACTTCTGGGAAAGTCTAAGAATAAGCTCCCCATTCGGAACATTTTACTATGACATAGTCAAGGGCAAGGCATACTCCCCCTTAAAGATCTCTAGAATAAAGAAAAGTCCGGGAGTCTGGACTTCAAACATAGAAGACACCATAAGGGCGATCTTAGAATATCACTTCCCACAGGATAGAGCGGAGGAGGACAGCGAGATCCATACAACAATAAGAAATAAAGCAGACACTCCCCCCGTTTCGGGAGACGACCCAGATTTCACAATAGAAGAAGTGCGTCAATTAATAAAGAGCACAAAAAGGGCAAAGCCCCGGGAAAAGACGATTTATCATTGGAAATAGTAGAAGAAAAATTTCTCACAAATGAGGAGTTCTTCGTAAGAATACTAAATGAATGCCTCAAAAGAGGCTATTTTCCCCAACAATGGAAAGAAGCTAATTAGTTCTCTTCCATAAAGAGGGTAAAGACAGAGAGACACCAGGAGCATACCGGCCAATTTGCCTTCTTTCAGCCTGGGGCAAAATCCTAGACAAGCTCTTAGCAAAAAGGCTTACATTCTTCCTAATTAAGAATAAAATACTCAACACAAAGCAGTTTGGGTTCACACCAGACACAAGCACAATAGATGCGCTAAGAAGCTTAGTCACGCAAATCGAAGAGAATAAAAGGAACAATCTACATACCTACGTGATATCCCTTGATGTGGCCTCCGCATTTAATAACTTGTGGTGGCCAGGGATACTAGCAAGACTACAAGATATAAAGTGCCTCTCAAACATATTCGGGCTAATTAAAAGCTACCTACAAGATAGAATAGTTACATATAACAGAGACGGGGTCTGCGTGACTCATAAGTATTACAAAGGAGCTCCCCAAGGGTCCAATTTAGGACCAATTTTATGGAATCTAATAGCAGACACCGCCCTAAATTTAGAATTTGAAGATCAAGTAAGCATACAAGCATATGCCGACGACTTTATAATAATAGTAGCAGGAGGGAACCGGCTAGTAATAGAAAGAAAGGCGCACAAAGCGCTCAGTATAATAAAGGAATGGAGCAACACATACAAGCTAAACTTCAGTATTGAGAAAACAAAGCTCATTCTATTTCCAAAAGGGAATAAATTACAGAGGTCCCCACCAAGAATCAAATGGGAAAACATAGCGATCCCAAGATGTGAACACCTAAAATACTTAGGGTTCACGCTTAGACCAAAAACTAACATGGATTCCCCATCTGACAGGAATGAAGGACAAAACACTCAAACTAATCAATAATCTGAATAGAATGGTTTCACACAGATGGAACCTCAAAGGGAACCTCCTTAAATCGCTATATATAAGAGCAATAGAAAGAATGATACTATACGGGTGCCCAATCTGGTACACCGGCACTGAAAGGGTAAAGACCAAATTAAATCAGATACAAAGGATAGCCCTTTTGTGTATCACAAAGGCTTATACAACGTCCCCTACGGCAGGGCTTCAAATACTCGCCGGGACAATCCCCCTGGATATCAAAGCAGACATGGAGGCGCAATTTTATAGAGCGGTCCACTATAAAGAAAACATAAGTATGGGAGACACTAATAATCTGGAATAATGAGATAGAGGATAGGCTCCCTACAATACAATATCATCCAGCCGAAGCGAAAAGAATTAAATGGGGAAAGGACCCACCAACGAATACATAGAGGTCTTTACAGACGGTTCCAAAATGCGCAACAAAGTGGGAGCCGCATGGGTAATCTTTCAAGACAGTCAGGAAATACACAAAGAAAGGATACGCCTAAATAATGACGCAACAGTTTTTCAAGCAGAAGTTCACGCCCTCAGAAGCGCGCTGCTCTGGGCTGGACAGAACGCAAGTTCCTCCACCAGGGTTGCATTCTTCACGGATAGCCTGAGCACATTACATAGCCTTAACAGCGGCAAAATCTCAAAGAGATGTATACAAAGCTTAAGAGAGATCATTAATACGCTCATATCAACGCACAAAGTGTCCCTTAATTGGGTTAAAGCCCACCAAGGGACGCTGGGTAATGAAAGAGCGGATGAAGAGGCTAAGAAGGCGACAGACAAAGAAGTAGTAGACGTACACGTTCCTCTCTCAGAGGAAGTAGCAAAGAACAGACTACACAAAGAAGCCCTCTTACAATGGCAGGAAAGGTGGGACGAGGGAACAACAGGTCGGATGACATATAAAATTTTCCCTAAAGTCTCAACAACAAGACTAAAGAGCAACTATTACGAAAATCAAGCATTGAGTAATCACGGTAACTTCCCATCTTACATAGTAAGATTCCACAAGAAGAAAGTAAGATGTGCCTGCGGCACTAGCGGAAGCCTCGCGGACGCAGCTCATTACATAAAGACCTGCCCTTTAACAGCGCCAGACAGAAAACGTCTGTTCCCGCCCTCTCTCTCCTCCTTAGAGACGGAACACTTGGAAAAATACCCAATAGGAATTAAAGGGATAAGAGAGATCATTAAGAAAGTCACGGATCAAGACACCCATCACCATTTCATAGAGTTTTTGTAGCAATCGTTCGACTCCTGTTAAGTCCAAGGTTTACTCTATGATTAACGCTACAGGACATCGAAGTCTATGTTTTTCAACTTTTCTTCGACTCATGTATATATGTAAATAATGTATATATTGTTCTATTTTTCTTTGTATTCATTTAAGTCTAATAAAGTTAATTAAAATTAAGAGGATCGTGATTGAGATCCCAAAATAAAACGATTTGTTGGCGAGACACATCTCTCCCCAGCAAAATCATTCCAGTCAGATGGAGCAGCTTAACCTAGCTATTTGGCATAAAACTACTTACGGCACCTAAGACTAAATTAATATCATACAAATGGTTATCATCTCCTCCCGCCTGATAGGGAGGTTTCCCACAGTTGTAATTTAATTACAGGAGTGGAGAGTAAAACTGATTGATTACTTCAGTAGTGGTTTCTCTTAGACAAGCCATTTTCTATTGAAAAGTGTGGCTTAAAGTTCATATGACAAACTTCATCACAAAACTGAAAAGTTTTATGACAAGATTTACACAACATTAGATTACAATAGAAGCCACATAGAAAAATGTAGTGGTAATTAAACATATTTTTCATTGATGTATTCTCAATTTTTTTAAGCCAAAATCTGCATATGTTTAGTTAAAATGCTTCTGAAATCTTTTGTTTTAGAATGTTTTTGTTGATTGGTTTTTATTTTTACTCAATTATTAGGTTTAAAAATAAAAATGTGTTTCCGCTTCTTGGCAATGTGTTATTTATATCGAAAGTTAGATTTATCCAGTAAAAGTAAGGTGTATTCTCAGTTGTTTGAGCCACTGTATCTGAAATTTAAACTCGATAGCTTATTAGGACTACCTTTAAAATTCGACGACAAAATTTTCACAATAGCAACAAACAATTAAATGAAAGCATATAAAAAAGAGAAAACAACAGATATGATAATTAAATTTATAAAGAGAAAACAATTATTACAGATATTGCATTTTATTTTTCTCGTTTTATTGTAAAATTACATTTCGAAGCAAAGAATATAATGCCTGAAAATTTATTTTTACTTAATAACACATCTCCTGAAATGCGAACTTGGCTACAAAAAATTCGACACTTTTGAAAACGACCTTGACATATAAGAAACATTCATGCACTTGTGTGATTGAAGATAATCATTTAATCTGTAAAGTTTCTTTCTCTGTGAATCTTAGAATATAAATATCTGAACTGATGTGTAAATCACCATACAATAATGATTTAAAGAAATCTTTTTGTAAAATTAAATTCTAGTTTTTTTTAAAAAAAAGATAATATACCTTTAATTATTATTTTCCTGATGAAAACTGCATTAGTAGCTACACAGCAATACGTTTGACTATCATCATGATAAAATATAAATGAATAAAATATAGCAAAAAACACTACAGCAGGTGCCATAAAAAGTATAGGTCTTTTAACAGATGTTTTTTTCAGTCTGAAGAACTGATTAACATCCATAAGGTAAATAGATATACTCAAACTCTTTCTTATCTCAATTATCTTATCCTTTTGTAACAACACTTTAAAACCGCAAGCTGCTTTAATCAATTTCTGCGAATAAACTTGTTGCCAGAATTGGCTTTTTTGAGAAAGCTGATTCACCGGAGAGAACATGACTTCTATGTTGGCGTGTTCCTTACGTAAGTTAGACATGGATTTAATTTTGCTGTTACTTTTACATTATCTTCACATGTAATTACTCCAGTAACCATATCCGAAAAATTAAGATTAGAACAAGAATCTATGCTATTGAAATCTGTGCGCATCTGTCTGTTTGTTTGTTTCATTATCTCCTCTCCTCCGCTACGGCCTGGAGTTGAATTTCGAAAGAGAAACCACCACCCCCCGGATTTCAAAAATTCGTGGGAATCCATTTCCACCATTCTCATCTTCATATGACTTTGATTAGCTGAGATAGTAATTAAAAAACTCTGAAAACGCTAAATTTCGCCCACAGTTTACCGAGTGACAATAGTCGTGCGCGCTGGAGATAAAAAAATCTGCTTTATTTCGAAAAGTGTTGCCACTGCTGGCTTTCAAATCATAGTTTGTTAATAAAAAATTTGTAAGTTTTACAAAATATGGAAGAAAAATGGTATTTCCAAATATTAAACATATTACTATTAAAAAAGTCACATTCTGACGTTGAAGAAAGCACGTGCTTTCATGTGACGTCATTGTATGTCAAGAATGTTTCGTTAATGTCAGCATTTTAAACAAATAGCTGCTGTTGGCAACCTTTTTGTTTCGAGTTAGTATAATTGATACGATATGTTATCACCACGTTAATTCTTCTATTGATATCGAGAAAAATTTGTTATATTACATTACATTTAAATCATGATGTCATACGTATTAACCTGAAGTATTAAAAGTTTTTGTTTCTTGGTTTGGCAACAAAAAAAATATTTACGAATTGGATGTTGCTTGGAAACAATGAACTTTCATTCATATTGAAATGTTTTTATACATTTTCTTTTCAGATGTGTCTAGAACTTATAAATTTTGCTTTGGCCGCTGCCCGATAATGAATTTATTCTCTGAATATGTAAAAATATGCTCACTTAGATTAAACAAGAAGCCTGTTTATTTACTTTGAAAGAATCAGAAGGGGAAGCAAATTATGTACTGATAATAGATGACATATTAATAAATGTATAATAATTAATGCAGAATTTTAGTGCCATATTTCATTCAAATGGAAATGAAGTAATATTGGATATAATACTCTTAGACAGATCGCGAAATAAAAAGAATGGAACACGAGTGATGAAGTAAATAAATTTTAAAAAAAAAACTTTTATTTTGATCATCAAGCGAAATAAGAAAAATTTAATATCTAACTTATGAAAAACGTATGTGTGCAAATTCGATATTAATGCTTATCTTTGAAAACTGGAAATACTTTACATAAATGAGATTATGCAAAATTCAAAAGAAGCCTTCATTTTGATAGGAAATCCTTTAATTTCACAACAGCAACAAGACTTGTGATTTGAATGTTACGACAAAAATTTCTAAGTAAAATATTTTTCAATGCTTCTCATAAAAAGTAATACAAATCGTAAAAATTGAAGTCACTTTAGAAGCTTCTAAATAAAAATGGTATATTTTATATCTAATTTCGATAAATTATATGCAGTGGAATATTTCAAGTGTAATCAGAAATATGTATAATCTTGTTAGATCTAATGCAAAATTTGGTTTATACAGTAAGACAGCCTTTCAAACAGAATATTTGTTTCCTGGTGTGTTATATCCAATTGAAACTCTCAAGCATTTTGTTTTTTACCTTTTCAAATATAAATCTAACTTTTAATAATCTTTATTACCAATTTTTCTTTCATTTCACAACTGTTATCTCAAATTATAAAATACACTTCAATTAAAGTGCCCTTTTTAATTTTCTGCTTTTATTTCCTTATATGCAGATTAACACCCCTCGCCTGCTGAAGATAGGCAATTCATACATTCATATGACTACTTCATCAGTAAGTCATAGAACTATAAATCAGAGTTAGGCATAATTCTGTTGCAGTATCATTAATACTTGCGATTATAATGCAATTGCAAACATGAGTAATTCCAATTACAATGCAATTAATCACACTGTAATTTATTAAAGCAATCGTATTGCAACTGTAATTTGAAATCTTTCAATAACAAAGTAATTGTAATTATAAATCGGGCAATTACAATTAATTCATTTATAAATAATTGTGTTAAAAACTGTACAATCACAATGTAATTTTTATCGCAACTTATTCAGTTACAATGTAATTGCAGTTACAACTAATTAAATTACAATGTCATAGTATTATAAATTGTACAATTACTACATAATTGTATTGTACATTATTCAGTTACAATGTAATTGTAACTACACGAGTTATAATTCCAATTACATTACAACTACAATAAAATTCTATCTGCACTTATAATTATGTTATATAAGTACAGAGTGTCCCATAAGTCTGTAAATATTTTTAAAATGCATAAAAATTGAAGGAATTGGTAGAAATGAACTCGGTTTGCGAAGAAGGTATTCTCGTGAAGAGGTTTTTTTTTTGGGGGGGAAGGGGGAGAAATATTCAAAATTTCCTTCAATAGACGACGCCGCACAGACGCAGTAACAAGATATATGTAAATCAGAGTCCTATAAATTTCAGGTTTTAGGATTAACAATTTATTTTATTCTTATCTCTGAATGGTTCTGAATGGTTCCGAATGGCTCTCTGAATGGCTGAGTTTGCCATTTAGAGAGGAGGCTTGTCTGGTTTTATGTTACTGCTTGAAATTGCTGTAAGTTTTATTTCTGCTCGATTCTCATTCGAATGAGATGACGACCAAAAAGCCCCCTGATATTAGCAAGTTTTGGGCTGGTTGATTAGATACCGATGATGAACCACTTGCCAATAATTCAGAATCTGAATATTCTCAACACACATGATCTCTAATTCAAGAAACCTGACCCTTCACTTCCAGTAAATTATAAAACTATGGATGCTAAACAGATACTCAAAAAGACCCTTAACAAAAGTAAAAAACCCAAAATTCCTACCAAAGCAAAAAAAAATTTTTTTTAATTAAAAAAAAACTACTGCAAACCTGCCTTAGAAACTGAAAATTGAAATATTTCCCCAAAAAGCTGAAAATTATTCAGTGTAACAACTAAAATCACCAGAATTTTGCCGAGACCTAAAACCGCCTCACCTGAAGACCAAGTTAAATTCAATAGAATTATTAATGACTGAGCTAGAGAAGTGATAAATAAAATGACTAGAGAAACCGAAAACTTAAAAAATTCTGCACCGACTCCTCAGATGAAAATTGGGTCACTCCTAAAAAATCCTGTAAATCTGACATCAGTATTAAAAATGACTTTCAAATCTCTCAAGAAAAACCAGTCTAAAGTGTTAGACGATAATGATAAAACTCCTGCCGTCTCAAAATCTGATCTTTCACTAAATAAAATTGAAGAAAAATACCACCAATACTTATTTCAAATAACAAAATTAGCTGGCTTAAATACGATCAACTACTCCGCACCAATTGTGAAGAACATTACAAAGCTCATATAAAAAAAGTTAGTGTTTATCTCTATATGAAATCCATAATGACTTCCGTAATGCTACAAAATTTTTTCAGAATGAACATATCAATTTCCACACCCATCAACTAAATTCAGAAGCTTCACTCAAAGAAATCCAAAGTCAATCACTGAAGATGCGATATATGATGACTTACACAGAAGGAATTTCCTGTTTTAAATATTAGACAATTTAGAAAACGTCAACGAACTGAAGCAGTTATGCTTAAAATCTATTACATAGAGATTTCGATTCAAGCAGCCCATTTCTGATTTTTTCTCCTACTTGCTCGAAAGTAAAGTTTTCATTCTGATGCTGACACCCATTAGTGGATAAAGCTTTATTAGTGATGTTGTTTCACTTCAGCCAAAAATCGCCGACTGAAGCTTTACAAAGGTTTAGGACACAGAAGTGATGGAAGAAAAATTCAGTTTCAATCAATTCTCACCGGAATTACTTCCCTGGTACGACATTTCGAAGAAACGGGAAGTTTGTGCCACCGCCTTTACAGTGGTGCACCAACGTTATCACCCCAGGTGTGTACGCTCTAAGAGAACAATCAGCGAGTGCAGAAAGTAGCGCACGAGAAGTAGCACGGAACACTGGTACACTAAAGAACATCGATACTCCGCATCCTTCACAGTGTACTAAAATTGTACCCCTACAGGTTATAATCAGTCTACCAGCTCTTATCAAATGACAAAGTTTTAATTTCGTATCATCTTAAGGAATTTTATCGACAGAAATTTTGAAATCTTTCCAGGTTTTTCCATTTGCTCTTTTAGTGCTGTAAACGGAAGTTTGGAGTTCTATTTAGCTCGAACAAACAGTCTAATTTGTTTAATATGACATCTCGCTACAAGTTCTCTACTTCTCTGAAAATTATTAATTGTCAGTAACCAAGGCTGCATCTCAATGTATTTATTTTGTTATTAGAAAATTACAGAGGAACCTCGTATTACGAACGCCGAACGCCTCATTAATTCGGTTCACCGCAAATTAGTTGAATAAAAACGCCTTGGATGACGAACGGTGTCTCGACTTACTAATTCTCAAGTCGAAAACATACGATTTTTCAAAGGTATTTTGAGGTAACCTATGACACATAATTAACACTTCGGGATCCCTGAAACATCATTTGAATATTTTCCGTTGCTGAATTCTCATTAATAAAACCTAGCAGTAAATGTACAGTTACAGGACCATGAATTCAACCTGAAGGAAATTAGGCTCAAATTTAGTTAGATAGAGACCTTGAGCGCTTTGACACTCAGGACTTCTTTTTTTAAACCTCTTCTTTGTTCTTTTCTTTTGATTCTGTGTCTCTATGTAAGTACTTCGGCTAGGAAATTAGCAATGGAAACGTAGAAAAGTTGCTAGAGAAGTATAAAAGTTGGTTTAACTAAAAAAAACTACAAAAACTTCAGAAGCAGCAACAAAAGGCGATTGTGGAAGAAATACTGATAGAAGACAGAAGGAAAAAATTCTAGTTCTCTTGTCTGCGAAATTGGCAATTTTCACCTTACGATATCACTCTGAGCAAGCTACAGCGTAAGTATTTGTAATAACAATACCATGTCATTCTTTAGAAACGTTTTAAAACATAGACAAAAACTAAACACATTAGACAAATTTTATCCGAAAATGAAGCCGAGTGAGTCTCAAACAAAGTAAGCAAAGTCGAATGGCTGCTAGAGACAAAAAAAAAGATAAAAAAAAAAAATGCTTCTTAATTGTTTATATTCTATGAGAGGGAATTTCGTACCCAAGCAACAACATACTCCTTAATATTTTCCGCTTACGTAATTTTACAGTATTATTCTAACCAGTAAACCAAAAGTATTATAATCTAATGGTTTACTTTATTGTAAAATTTTTCTGTGTTACCAATATTCTCGCAGTACTTTAATAAATGATAATTATTATATTTATAATTATTATTTCTTAGTTTTTCTCAGTCTCAGTGTGGCATATGTATCTTGCCTTCAGGTGGAAGATAAGGATGTCAACGCCGAACCAATGAGTAAGTTTGTTGATAGTATACTCATTTTTATCATATTAATATACTAGTTTTCATATCTTTTAAATGACTTGAAATAATAAAGAACACTACATTTTCAAGTGTGTGACTGGCTTTGAATGAATGGAATGTTTAGTAGTTGGCTTCTTTTATATAGTTATATGACGGATTATATTTAAATTCTTAAAGTATTTCTTGCAAATCTTTTAACTACGAATAGTAAAAAAAACAATTAGGATCAAAGACGTTCTTATTTGATACCCAATTTGAAATCTAGATGTTTCAGCTAATAAATGGTTTTCAGGATTTGTTTAAATATTTAATAACATAATTAATAACTATTTAATTAATCAGAATATTCGAAATTTTTAAATTGCGATATCATGCTAATCATTTTAACATTTTCTTAACAAAAATCCCATTGCTGACTTCAAAATAAAATTTTATTGCATAAAGTAAGCAAATTTTTGTCGAGTTGCGGTAACTTATAAAAATCAACACATGACTTTCTTGTATGGCCTATTAAATTATACTCACTTTTTGCTGCATCTCATTTGAAAGTGTTTTCTCGAATTTCATTAAAAATATATTTCTCATTCAATTAATATTGAAAAATGTAGAAAAACATAAAACACCGAATACAGTTAAAAAACAATTTTTACAATTAAAATTGCCACTCGGCAAAAAGACAATGAAGATGCAGAAACTAACTTAATTCACTCCTCTGCTATGTCTGAAATTTAAACAAGTGGCTGCTCCATTAGGCTTAGTCTCCCTTAAACAACTTATTAGTAGAATAAGTGTACTTATTAGTAAAACAACTTAATTGTAGAATTATCAACTAAATTGTTGATAATTCTACATCTATTGCATGCACTTTAACTAAAGGCATAAAAACCTTAACTGGAACATAAGAACAATGTAATTCAATCAATTTTAAAGTAAAAATACTCATATATGTACTTTTGTTGCCGCTGAATACAAACAAAAAAGGAGGTGCACAACTAGATGTTATAGCAACCCCATATTTAAGTTAGGCGAGATACACAGATGTCAAAAAAAAATCTGTTCTGAATCCATTTTTTAATCGGTTTGGGAAAAAGAGACCTTTATTCTGTCCGTACATACAGATGTCACGCAAAAAGATAGTTCAGATGGATTCGAAAGCGGTCATATATTTTCGTTGAAATATGATACCCGAAAATTTTCGCGATTACAGTAATTTCTTCACTTAGTATAAGGAAGTAAAAAACAAAGCAACAGCTGTAGCATTAGCTAAATAACAGAAAGCAACACCTAACACAGCTAAGCGTATAAAAAAAGAAAAAGAAGAAATTAATTGTCGGGATAATGTTTTTACTTTATCTGATTAAAGGCGGCTTACTTCGCTTCTGTTATGCATGTTAATGCATCAAATTTTACTTCCGTCATTGATAAATGTCGTAAAAGTTAAAATTAATGTCTCTCCTGCTAAAATAATTTAAAAGCGATTATTTAATTTTTGCTTTTCATAACGAAAGGCTATAACTGTAATGTTCTTCAACTTGCGGTACGTTTTTCCTTCAGATCCTATTTGTGTCTGAGAAAAACAAAAGACTTTTTAGTTCTCGCTTTGTCACTATTGGAAAGAGTAGCCAGGAATAATGGTAGCTCCAATACGTTATCCGTTTCTTCTTCGTATTAGCAGCTCAGTCTTGGACAACTGGGACCCTAAGAAAATTATTTCATGTTGGATATCTTCTGCTCTGGTGTCTGTGGTAAATTGTAAGATAATTAATTACTTTCAGGTTGCGTTCTTCAGCCTAGCCGTCTAAGAATTTCTGACAGACATTTTAAAATGCGTGTCAGGCACTTTATTTCCTTTTTAAAGTCCGTGATATTGGTATCTTTGATAATTTTTTCTAGCAGTCGGTTTCGAGCGCATTTTCCCCCCTATCATTTCCTGATTTATATTTTCTTGAGGATATGAAACCTTCTCATTGATATTTGCATCATCATTGGAGTTGTTTGGCCTGGCAGCTTCATCCATTTGTTTGACAGGAACAGGGGTGAGATCTCGCTAGCTAAGTACTGTTTTCGACTTTTATAACTACGTAAATAAATAGTTACGGTTTTTCGGATTTTTTTGCTTTAATTTCTTCATCTTCAATTAGTTTTAGAACCTTTTGAAGCTTTTTATATAATACTGCTTCAAAGATGTATATGAGGTATTTTTAAATTTCTTTTGCCTAAATGTATCTCTGAGAATTTACGAGCTTTAATGTTAACAAGTTACTACAATGTGAAAAGTTAAAAGACAAAACTGAAGCGTTATCGAACTCCGAAGAAAAATCTCAAAAAATATCTTCAAAAAAGGATTTTGTAGTTTCAAATTCTGATATTTATCACCAGTTTGTTCCAGAATAGATAATAGCGCCTTGAGCTCTCACGACGTTTCTTTCGAACAAAGATGATTTTTCATTCAGTTGTAAAATGAAATACGATAGGAATTTTGGTTCCAAAGAATAATTATCTCGCTTTATCACTGTGAGAAAAGCAACAGAACTTCTTATGCAATATGATTACTCAGGAAGATTGAATCAAATTACTTACCCACTGTACTTCGAGGAAGGTTTTATAAATTTTCCTTGTATTTAATTAATTCTACAACAACACAGATATGTGGAAATGTATTAAAAATCTTCAGATTCCTTTTCCTTTAGTTTCCAGGTTAGAACATCAAAACTATTTCTTTACCATTAAAAGCTATAATAGAACCCCAATTATTTGAAAAATCGATTAACTCATTCAAACGTGTGTTAATAGAAATTGTCGTGTATTTTGAGAAAAATCTGGATATAGCATACATGTGAGGTGAGTGAAATTCTTCGAAAACTTCAGATTCCCTTTTGTCTTAATAATTTAACTCTGGGATCTTTCACAAGACTTTTCGTAATCATTATTTCTGCATTCATATATTCTGCCCTACCTTAGTTTTCCCTTTTTGTAATTTCATTCTTGTTTCTTTTATTCAGTTTACTAAACGCAACAGTAAACGAGCGCATAAGTTTGCTGAATGCTGGTCCGGTTCAAGTCCCTATAGCTTAGACTTTCCTCCAAGAAAGCATACTTCCCCTTGGGCTTATATCCTTATGTTAATTTCCTACAATCTAATAAACTTAATCCTCTAACTGGCTTGGGATTTCACTAAGAAATCTCAAATTTCCCAAAAGTGCCATGAGAAAGAAATTTTTTTTTTTTTAATTTAAATGCCGAAATGGACCTGGTACTTTATACCTCGATTTATGTATTTTAGTAGTATCTTATCTTAAATGCTTAGGCATATTTCAGGATGCACATATACAGGGTGTACCGTAAATGTTGCGGCAAACTTCTAGGGGAGGTAGAGCACATCATAAGAATTCCATAGGAACCCATGCCCGGAAATGTCAGGGGTAAGTGGTAGCAGAGGTAGAAGATGGGAAACGAAACAACAGTGATTAATTTGAAACATTTATTGGACATGAATACAAATGGTGTACAAGACAGCTCGAATGTTGCAACAGATCCTGGAAGTTTGCACCATCAGACGCCAAACATGCCTGACACCGACGGTCCTGCGCAGGCGAGTCTTGCCACTAGATCTATTTCATACACAACAGGATCGTGATACACGACACTTTGGTTTCCCACAAAAAGAGTGAACAACGCTCCCACAAACAAGGCTCGGTAAATCCGGTGAGCGTGGGGGGCCAGGGAACTGGTCCACCACGCCCAATCCATCGACGCGGGAATGATCTGCTTAAATGGCTACGACATCCAGTCCAAAATGAGCAGGGCCCCCAACATGTTGGAATCACGTGTTTCGTCTCACATTTGGTGGAACATCGTCAAGCAAATCAGTAAGAACTTGCTCCAGAAAGATCAAATAATTCTCGGCATTCAAATGGTCCGTCGATGTCAAACATGTTTAGCGTCTGATGGCGCAAATTTCGAGCATCTGTTCTAATATTCAAGCTGTCGTACACCATTTGTATTCATGTCCAATAAATGTTTCAAATTAATTCAAACCACTCTTGCTTCTTTTCCCATCTTCTACCTCTGCTACCACTTACCCCTAATATTTTCGGATATAGGTTCCTATGCAATTCTTAATCCTTATGATGTGCCCAACCTCCCCTAGAAGTTTGTCGCAACATTTACAGTACACCCTGTATATAGTATATTCGTTCTTACAGATATCACAAAAAGTATTCTAGGCCGTATATATACGGCTTGCCGGTCAGAGGGTTAAAAAATTATTAACTATATTTCATTTTCTGGGTCTAAACGAAAAACATTTGTTTTCAACGAGCATTATTACTATAAATGATATTAAATATTACAAAAATTGCTTTCAAATAAAAGCTGATATTATGTGGAAATAAATTTCTGTTTAGTAGAAATATATAATGTAATTATCCTAATAATGTAAAGATCCAGAACAAATGCAGGGTTATCCAAAAGCCAAATTTTCAAAAATTATGTAACTCCAAAAGTGATATTAATTAAAAATTGTTTGAATACATGGCATCCCTTTACAAGTCATATTTAATTTGAACTCTCAACTGCCGTTTATGCTCTTAGCTTTAAAAACCTTTTGGTGCAAGATGGGGATGAAATTTGTCCTAGCAAATATTATAATTAAGCATTCCTTTCAAACCAACAATTTGATTGCTTTGCCATCATTCTCCCATGTGCTTTATTGATCATTACTACGTTTTATTTCTGGCTTCCTCTATTTTATTCGAATTCGGACGTGGTAGAATTGCGTCATTTTGTTTCTTATGATCAACACTTTCTTCGAATCAGGTTACCGAATGGGAAAAAAAGGTTAACAAACATTTGGGAAGATTTCTTTAAGCACTTCAACAACTTTTCCGTAAGACTGCTTTGCGAAGTAATACTCGATCTTAAAAATTCATTCTGCTTGGAAAAACCCTTATCTTCATCTTGGATAAAACTGTTTTAAAAGCTAACAATGA